ACGTTGACCGGTCCACGGCAATAAAAAGGTTGGGGACCACTGATTTAATGTACAGAAAGCAGAATATTCATCTCTTAATAAAAACAAAGAGATCGCTCAAACTGTGATTACTTTTCCCTTGGTGGCTTCAAAGCATCCACAGCAATATTTTATGTTACATGATACTGACTGTAATCTGGTTATCTATCTGGTTATCTGTTAACAGAGCCTATTTGTATATAAAAGGGAAAAGTGATATATTATTTTATAGAATTATATTTTGTCATTCTTCTAAGTCATTTCCGTCTTATGGCGATCCTAAAGCAACCCTATCGTGAGATTTTCTTGGCAAGATTTGTTCAGAGGGGGTTTGCCACTGGCTTTCTCTGAGGCTGAGAGAGTGTAACTTGCCCAAGGTCACCCAATAGGTTTCTGTAGTCAAGCAGGACTTCGAACCCTGGTCTCCAGAATTATAGTCCTACGCTTAAACCACTTAACCATATAATATTTCATAAGTGATACATATCCATACTATATCTTCTAGTCTTCCTTTATGGGCAGGATGCTTTACTTCTTGCACTCCTGTTTCACTGACTGTGATTCACCTTTTATTGTAGCTTGCCCCCATGCATTTATTTATAGCCTAAATTTTAGGATTCTGTCCATATAAGGTGGCTTACCAAAAAAGAAACAAAAAAAAACCCAAAAAACCCAACAACGGGGGGTTGCAGACTGCCAGAAATAGTGCAAATTGAGTCCACTTTAAGGGTTAGGGTTAATGCTAGGGAATCATGGGAATTGTTATTTTTCTGAGACATTGAGCCTTCTCTGTCAGAGAGCTCTGGTGCCACAATAAAATACAGTTCCCATGATTCCCTAACCCTAACCCTAACCCTAAAAGTGGACTCAATTTGCACTATTTCTGGCAGTCTGCAACCCCCCAGCAACCCCAGAAACAAAACCCCGCTTAAGGAATAACAAAACAGTCAAACAAGACAAAATTCATTTTCAAATACACAGGCCAGCTAAGAATACGTAATTAAGCATAGCATATTTGTCAGAAGAACAGTAAATCTTTAAATAACTCCTTAATTCAAAACTGCAGTGTTAGAAAGACCGTAATCCAAGAAGCAGCAGCTGAAATAGTTTTAAAAGCTTTTTAAACATTTGCAAGCTTGAAACTACAGTACTCACACCTCAGTGGAGAGGATGTTCCAGAGCCTGGGGCCAGGGCTTTGTTGGGGAGAGAATAAATTTGAACTTAATCATTCAGTGCTAAAGTTCCCAGGAAGAAAACTGAAAGTGGGGGGGAAAGTAAGGGAGGGGGAATTTAACACATACTCCTGTTTTTGCACTTGCTACAAACATCTTTGCCAAGATTCATGATCAATTCTTTTCTTATCTATAAAGTTTCCATTTTGCAAAGATGAGCAGTGTGGCGTAGTGATCTGAGTGTTGGACTAGGACTCTGGAGACCAGAGTTCAATTCCCAGCAAAGCCATGAAACCCTCTGGGTAACCTGAGACAAGTCACATGCTCTCAGCCTTAGGGGAAGGCAATGGCAAAACCTCATCTGAACAAATTCTGCCAAGAAAACCCCATTATTGGCTCATCTTAGAGTCATCGCAAGTCAAAATCACTTGAAGGCACTCAACAACAACAATAATTTGCAAAGGCCTTACAATCTTTATCATCTTTGCCCAGTGCTTGGAAACATTCCTCCTCCTCCTCCTCCTCCTCCTCCTCTTCTTTATTTTGGACCACATGGGGGCCTCTAGAAGTTGCAGTCCAAAAGACCAAAAAACCCCCACTTCCGAGTTCTTAATTTGTCCAATTTATATCACCATCCCCTTTCTTTCTATATGATTTTTTTTAAAAAAAATACTGTACATTTTAAATGATGGCAGAGACTTTCTATGCTATTGACTAGACCAGGGGTCAGCAACTTATGGCCCCCCAAGGCCTTTGGACCGGCCCCCGCTGACCCCCACTACCGCCGCCACACGCGCTGCTGCCGCGCCACCACCGTGTGCATCACGGCCACCATTTTGGAAAACAAAATGGTGGTCATGACTCGTTTGCGCATGCGCAGTATGCAGTAAGAAAAACTTGCCAACCCCTGTACTAGATAATAGCTGGCATACCTTTTGGCACAGTAAACAAAAAACTGGGGCCACTGTTGCTATTACTGACATGAGAAATAAGTGACTCAACTAACAGCATAAAAACAGTCAGTCCTGAACCTCATTCTTCCAGATCTCAGTCTGACCTCTTGTACCTTAGATATCGTTTCCTGACAGTGCCCTTTGTTTTGACCTTATGTCAATTTTTGACCTAAGAAATCAAATCTCCAACCGTGACAGTTTTAAAGCATTTACCCACATCACCTAAACATAAGAAGCACCATGCAATGCACTGCATTTTCCATTGTGCCTCTCTTGCAGTCTGCCAATATCAGATGCTATGCACAATTTACAAAAAGTACAGATGTTAATTCCAGAAGCCACCCACATACAAAACAATTACCTACCATTGCTAAAAATATGCCAGGAATCACTATAAAAGTTGTCAAGGAGAAGCAGGCAGCAAAGCAAACAAAAATAAATAGAGCCAGAAAGAAAGAAAAACAGATTCTAAAAGTGAAACACAATACAAGGATCTACCGCTAATACAGTCAGCAAAGTTTAAAGCACAGGAATATCCTTTTACACACACACACCCCTAAAGCCCATGGGCTGTCGAATTCAAACTGAGGTTGGATGGATTACTAAGCAAAGAACTGCTGAAATTCAATACAGGACATAAAGCGACTAGAAACTTGTAAGGCAGTTCAGCTCTGTCTTAAGTTTCTTGATAACAATAAATGAAGAATTAAGCAGAATATAAGTTTTGCCCATAGATCACTACAAACAGTGAGCATAGATTTTCTTTTTATCAGATTTCCCACTGAGTAGAAAGGAATTTGCCTTTATAGAACATGATGTTTCTCCAGGCTTATCACAGTATGTATTATGTTGTTGTTAGGTGCCTTCAAGTTGACTCTGACTCCTGCCAATCCTATCCTAAAGTTTATTTGGCAAGATTTGTTCACAGGAGGCTTGCTGTTGCTTTCCTCTAAGTCAGAAAGAGTATGATTTGTCCAAAGTAACCCAGTGAGTTTCTGTGGCTGTGCGGGGATTCCAACCTCGTGTGTCAGATTCCTTGTCCAGCACTCAAATCACTACACCAGGCTGACTTATGATTTACCCAAATCATAAAATAAGCAGGGAAAAAACAGTAAAGAGCTGACTCATGAAACTAATGGATGACTTTTGTCAAGTCATCTCCACTCTCATCTTGACCTACCTTACATGGATAAAGAGAAGGAAAGCAAAGCCAACTGATCCTTAGACAAAAGGCAATATACATATACATATACATATACATATACATATACATATACATATACATATACATATACATATACATATACAAAAAAATAAAATAAAAAAGACCAAGCACACCTGCACACTAAAAGTATCTCTCATCAAAGCATAACATCTCTGTGGGAAAGAAAACAGGGATGCATAATGCATCAAGTAACAAATAGTCCTCATTTAAAATATATTATGGAACTATTAGGCTCACAAAGACATAGTGCAGCAACTCTGGTTTGCTGACTTAATCCTGGTACAGTGACAGCATAATTCAGCATACTGAAATAAGTCCTGACTCCTCCTGTGTGGAGTGCCACAGGGCTATATCAGAAGACATGAATAAGAATAAGTTATGGTTAGTTGTTATTTCTACAAAGCTCCTGTTTAAATACAGAAACATGAAACAAGTCCACTGTGGTACAGTGACTAAAATGCTAGATTGGTGTTAGGGAGATCCTGGTTAAAATCCCTATTTAGAAATGAAACTCAGCCTAACCTATTTAACTTACATGGTTGCTGTGATGATAAAATGGGGAGGAGAGATAGCTCATTCACACTGCACAATTATAGCATTATTATTCCACTTTAACTGCCAGGCTGCATCCTGTGGAATCTGAGGTTTTGTAGTTTAGTAAAGTACTAGAGCTCTCTGGCTGAGAATTCTAACTGCCCCTCCTGATACTGCAAATCCCAGGATTCCATGGGATGGAACCATAGCAATTAAAGTGGAATAATAGCAATACAATTGTGAAAGGACCTCAGGGTATACATATACCATATATACTCTTTTGGGGCCAAAAATTATGGCTTTTGATAAGACCCATGGATAAGTCAAGGATAAAACCTAGGATAAAAAGGTAAAGGTAAAGGTATTCCCTGATGACAAGGTTATCAGGTTGTGCCCAACCATAGGAGGTGGTGCTCATCTCCATTACTAAGCCGAAGAGCCTGCATTGTCAGAGACTGCTCTGTGATCACGGGGGCCTGCATGATTGCACAGAATGCTGTTTACCTTCCCACCAAAGTGGTACCTATTTATCTACTTGCATTTGCATGCTGTTGAACTGCTAGGTTGGCAGAAGCTGGGACTAGTGACAGGAGCTTACCACATCATGCAGCACCCAGGCCTTGAACTGCTAACCTGAGGATCTTACAATCAACAGATCTTGATCTTGCAATCAAATTTAGGGGCATGTAACAAAAGATGTAAAGGACAAAGCAAAGGGAAACAATGCCAAAGAACACACAAAATTCCAGCAGGCATAACTGTTTCTGCTCACCCGAAAGGCTAGATGGATAAAGAGTGAATTACAGTAAATGGTGACTGTGCAATGTGTAGGAAGGTAATCAGATACAGGCAGTGCTAAGAAACACACAAATGTCAAAAAGGATGAAAAGCAAAGCAAAGCAAAGTAATGGCAACTATATTAGCAGTGATGATAGGCTTTAACTTTAATATGATAACTTTTGCCTGATTTTAACCCCAAACGCTGACAAACATACACAGATGTCTTTTTTGGAGCTTTCAAAGCCTGATTCCTCATCACTGGAATAATATCTCTGAGCAGAGTGGCAAAAGGCAAGACCTTTGTCTGTCCCAGGAGAACCTAGAAGAAGCACTGACTGCCTCTACTTTCTCAGCACTCCTTTGAGGGGAAGCACCAAAGAGCTGCTGCTACCATCCAGACATTCGAAAAAGCCAGAAATTGCATTGTGGCAGAGACAGTAGAGGTAGTGGGTGCTTCTTTTAGGCTCTACTGGGGTGGACTAAGGGGGTCAGAAGACGGGCGGCCCTGGGAAGCTGCGCTGCAGGGCCGAGGTATCCCCGCACCTCGGCCCCGTGGCGCAGCTTCGCCACCCCTGGAAGGAGCGCTAAAATAATGCTCCTTCAACAAGTCGCCAAAGGTGCACCACAAAAGGCTGGCGGTGCACCTTCGGTGACTCTTCCACCACAGCGTGTATGGATGTTGTGGTGGGAAGGCATCGTCGGAGCGCCGGCCGTGCGGAGGGGCTGGCGCTCCGACGATGCCTTCGGGAAGGGGTTGGGGCACCCACCGTGTGGCTGCCCCTCCCCTCCCTTGCCCCCAAAAT